ATTTCACTTGCTGCAAAGCTAGCTTTTGGTGCGTAGACACAGATTCGAGACTGCCCAAATAGTAATCTCTAACATAAAGGTAAAATATTATTCTGAAAAAGATAAAACCCTACATTGTCCACTTCAACATGACAAGACTAATTTTAGCGAGGAATTATTTTTGAAATTCTCATTAGAACCTTTATAATGGAGTAATATATTGAACAAAAATAATACTCATGGCCACACCAAGACAGACGACGATGTTCTGATGATGTTGGTGAAAACAAAACATCAATAAGAAAATACCAACCATGTCAACATACTTGTAATCCAAACTCAAATTCAATGAAACTAGAGCAAAAAGTAACTGGAAGAATAAATCTCTTCTGCTTCACCGATGACACCTGCCATGTTAGTCTCGGTCAATCCGAATAATGACACGTTCTTAAATGATAACAATGATATCACCACTACGACTGTAAAACTCATTACCATGCATCGTTTGAAACGCTGTGTAACGAGTTTGTCGGTTAGTTGATGACATCTTGCACGAAAATCCAAGGCCAAATATTTAAATTTAGCTTTGTCATTCATTATGTTCATTCTGACTGAATATTTCCAAGGAATGTTGCATATAATATAAATTAATTTCTGCATTTTAAATTTAACACTATCATTAATTGCAGCACAAATTATGATTTACTTTAGTGCATAAATTAATAATTAATTGTTGGCAGACATTGAATGACAAACAAGTTGCAGTTAATGCCTCTAATATATACAGTTATACAAGGTTGGCATTTCATAACCATCGTATCGATTTCTGTCTTGGTCTTATTCTTTGCTTATGGGTCTAATTATAAACACTGATTAAACGAGTCAAAGATGTACTTGTACTATACACGTTTTTGTATTGTGGTGCTATTTTGTCCCGTCTCTCTTGCTACTGGAAACGTTTGGACAATGACACATTGATTTATGTATATTGTATATTTCTTTAAAGTGTCATTACCAAAAACCTAATGATAAAACAAGAAATTTAAAGTACACATATGAATCATATAAATATTTTAGTAACTTGGTTTTGACTTTGGTTTAGTTTGGAATATATTTCTTAATATCCAATCAACAGCTATGGTATGTGTCTAATGTGCGTGCTTTGTTAGGTGAGTTGGAATGAGGATTTTCTGACAGAGGTGAACGTTCAACAAAGGGGTATCAAGGGACACAAAAGGAAGAAGAACGATTTCTAGCAGAGAACATATTGGGAACAACAGGTACAATTTCAACGTCTTACCTGCAGGGTAGTTTGACTTAAAAGTATTCATGTGTATAAGGCTTGTCGCTGATGCAAGAAGGCGTTTCACCATCAAATGTTGAATAATTTTGTTGGAGGTTGGTTTCTCTGTTGCCTTGTGCAGCTGACATCTTTATGTACTTTTTTCATCTTGGAAGGTTTCTTTATTTTCCACTTCTGTATCCCCGTGTACAGCTGATCATCATGTGTTTAACAACAAGAGCATACAAGCATGTCAACTTGATTATAATCAGATTTAATAAAACTAGGGTAAAATATAAACTAAAGTGAGATTTTCAAACAGTGGTGATTACATGTCGCAGTTGATTTGATATTCAAGGGCCTGTTCTTCCCATGATCACGATTTTCGTTCAAGAAGTTGTCAACTGATGGAAAACTCGTAACATAGGGTTTCAATAGATGCAGGTTGATGAAAATCATGGGGAAGTTTTACGGTCGCTATAGTAATCTCATTGAGAAATATTTTTTGTTCGATATGAAGCTGGACGTGTCTAATACTCGTTATTCTGTCTGTTCTTTCCGTTGCTTTATATCTTTTTCTCATTTGAGAACGTGACGTTGACCAAGAATTACATGGCGTGTGTCGTAGGTACAGCAGAAGTAAAGGATAATCTCGATATGGAACACTCAATGATAAAAAATATTAAGTGAGGAGTTGCAGAGATGGAATCCATGGACTGTCTGGGTGTAAGATTCGTGCCAAAAATGACTTATGGACTGTAGTGATCTGGATCTCTGGTAGTGTTTTCGGACTTGCGCTGACACTGAGGATGTATATAATTACCAATTTGTGTATGATGGCTTTACGGGCGTAAATATTATAATTTTACCTCCAGTGGATCATCAATACATAAAATCATTAATATCGATCAATTTGATGTTCGGTACAATATCAACATTTATCAAATAACTTAGCAATGCAACTATGTTTGTTTTTTTTATACTTTGAATGTTCATTGTGTATTTGAATTTCTATGCCTGTTCTCCAATCCTTTTGTTTATACAATAATATTGATTCAAATGAAAAGAAAGATTGCAATAGAGCCTGTATCGCTCAACTGGCACATTGGTTCCTCTTCACCTAAGAATGCTTCAGCCCAAATTTTGTCGTTATCCATGGTATTTCAAAGATTTTGGTCTATTTCCCCCTACCTTCTCGGCCTCGCAACTTTCACCCCAGGAGACCGAGACCAATCTATTATACAAAATTGATTCCCCTTCACTTAAAAATGCTTCGGTACAAATTTTTGTTAAATGCAATCCTTCCTACGGAGGAATTGGATCTTTTTGCGGTATTTTCCCTATTCATTATGGATGAAAGAAGGTAATCTTGTGGAGATGAAGGAGGAGGCTGTAAATCATGTTGACAGATTAAGTTAATTATTTAATCAGTTCATTTCTATATTTAACCATGATGCAATTAAAATGAAACATTCTGCTAGCATGGTGCAAGAATTGTACCTTTTGCCTACATTGCATTTAAAGTAAGCGGGGAATCAATTTGGGACATATTATGTTATTTTTATTCATTAATGATTAAGTGTGTTTACACATTTTTTTACCTATCACATTTCTGTTTATATTAATGATGTAAAAGTAAAACCGTTTCAGAACTGCTGATGCAAGGATAGCGTCCATTTCATAATCAAGCGCTGCCAAAAACGCAAAAATCATGTTGCTCACCATAACATGATTATTTTCGTCAGCTGTGCTTATTTTGAAAAAAAAAAAAAAAAAAAACTCTGGCAGGAAAAAGCGAAATACTGATATGAATATTTCACGAACTAGGAAAACTACCATAGTTCTTAAGTAATACTAAATAAATGACACACATAGTTCTACGGAAGCAAACCTTCTGGAATGTCCGTTTTTGCGACTTTGCTAATATAATTTCAAGAAGGAATTAAAAATTGTTATAGATAATTTTGAGAGTACTGTGTACTGTTTTCCAAAATAACGTTAATTACTTATTGTTATCAATAGTGAATGTCCACATGACCACAGGAGGTTTTTAAGGAAATGTCACAAGTGTTTACCTCTAAGAATATTAAGTTGAATTCTTAGGAATTTTTTTTTACATGATTGACGCCTGTGATCTGGAAGATAGATCAAGATAATTCATATTTACATTATATTTGTGATGTATCTAACCTCCAGGCCTTTCCAAACTTGAGTAGACGTTTCAAAACATTGGTTCCCTACATTGGAGTTTTGAACTTTGACCCCTATGGAAAACTTAAACAAATGCAAAAACAGAAGGTTGTTAACTGAAACACGTAACAGTTTCCACTTTAAAAAAGTAAGAAAACGCCATTTATGATATTAATATAATTGACCCCTGTGGCCTTGCAAGTAGGTCAACGTCATTCATATTTACAAACTTGATAGGTAATTACTTTAGCATTATGTGTTTAAAATATTTTTAGTACACGCACAATTTATAATAACACATCACATTTACAAAAATAAAGTACTAGATTTAGATATATATATATATAATTGCTAAAATCTATTGTTTTTCCCTTTACACTGATTCGGCATTTAGTCTAGTTTTCTTTCTTATTCGGATTGTTCATCATTGTACATTCATGTAAATATATTTCGTTAAACGGTTATTACAAAAAAAGAACAGAAAAAAGTGAGAAAAAAAAATCAAATCTTCCTGAACTGCTCAACTGCTAATGAATAAGATTAATGTTAAAGAAATTTGGATTTGTGACTCTTGTTTGGCTTAGTTAACATGGCTAAACGTCCTACGAATAGCGAAGGTCATAAATTGACGGTCTTCCGGGGTAAAATGCGAGGTGAGTGCATGTGTTTGAATATATGTTGCAAGTCTGCAATGTGCTCTCATGTTCACAAATAAATATTATATATTAATACTTTTGGAACTCGGAAGGGCCTTGAAATTACATAACGCTTTCCAGAACATGTGCTTAGTTAACTTGTACAGTCCGCTTGTTCGTGACGAGTTACGTAAAGGTGGAAGGTTGTCCATCACCATGTGGTGGTCAAGGTTGTACAAAAGACACACAAGTGAAAAGCACCTTTTCGTAATTTAAAGTGGTCAAAAGAAAAATCATAATTTAGAAGGGGAGGTACAACAGCCCCATAATTAGATAAATTTCATAATTTTTATACATCAGATAATTTTAGAAAAGCGTCAAGAACATGTGTATTTTCTGAACCGTGCCAATGTTCGAGATGATCCCTACACCGAATCGTGCCATGGCTTGTACTCCTCGGGGTTAAACATTGACGTGCTTTATTGTTTTGTAACTAGGTTTGTTCGAATATTGCTTCTTAAATCATAGCTAGTGTCACTTTTAATTGTGATATGCTGAGGCATGTTGGTTAAATGGATGTACCAAATATGTCTCTGTTTAATCATACACATACGTGTTTGTTATCTTTTTGCCTATAGTTACTCACCTCGTCGACCTTGAAAACGGATGTTCGTGTAGTTATCTGTTAGTCAAAGGATTATTTCTGCTATTTCCTAAAACGAAGTCTCGAATTTCGTATAATCAAGAGTAGTCAAGAGAAATAAGGGAGACCCCCCTTACAACTTTTACAGATCGAACAATAGTGAAAGCCAAGATCCCTTTAGGATCTCTTATCCGAAAGACGAAAAGTACTGCCCAATGGTTTATGTATTATATACATTTGATAACAGTTATCGATATTTCTTTATTATCAGGAATAGGAATATCCAACGTCCTTACCTGTTTCTTCATGAATATTTACTACATATTGGTGCTCGCCTGGGCCGCATACTATTTGGTGTTGAGTATGAGGGCAGTCCTACCATGGTCAAACTGCAACAATACGTGGAACACACCGAGGTCTGTAACTGGCTTATCGTATACATTCTTGTGCAGCCTGTAATACAATTATGATATTTATAACTTTTTATTTGATTGTTATTTTGTTTGCCATTGTGTGCCTCGTTATGAAAATACACAGATTAGATCGTGTTAACTTCACAATATGATTTCTCTGCAATATTTTAACCTGAGGTGTGTTTCAGTATACCTTACCTGATCAATATCAGATCAAACGTCCTTCCAACTAATTTTATTTTTGTATTTTATTTTACAGGTGCACATTTTACGGAATGAATATGAACAGCAGTCAAATTGATAATCTCACTCTGCTGAAGTCAAATATTACCTTCGGAAGATCGGTGGATTCTTCTGTGGAATTTTGGGAGTAAGATAGCCATTTATATTTTGCATGTCAAATAGATTGTTTATCAGACAACAAAAAGCAATGGAATATACTGCAAATACTTGATATGTGTATAATGCGTTTCTTTTGGTGTTGGACGTTAAATACCTATTTTGTTGTGTTTATGTTTTGCATACAATATTGATTAACACATCCTATACGATAAATTATAGACGAAAATACTATCTATCCCTAACAACTATTTGTCTCAAAATGATAGGAAAGGAACCCATAGAATGTAAGAAATGGAGTTAAATAATTTGGTTATAAAATGAGTCCAATTTCAAGTTAGGGAGCATTGATACACCTGATAATTCTCTGCAGGCGTAGAGTGTTACAGCGAACGTCGGGCGTTTCTGAGGGTGGCGGTATTATCTGGGAACTGGCATTGTCCCTATTGGTGATGTGGATGATTGTTTACTTCTGTTTGTGGAAAGGCGTCAAATGGACAGGCAAGGTAAGCCTCTATTGTTGGAAAGTCTACATGAGGTACCAAGAGGAAATGTAACAGATGTTCATTTTCCTTGTCCTAACTACTATTCAAAGAGAAATGAAACCAAAACACATCACATAATTTTAACTGCACGAATTAGTTGTTTACCCAAATGAAAATCACGATATATCTGATGATATGTGTAATATTAAGATAAGAAGAGTTTTTCGATGTTCTGATTAAATATTATAATATTATTCCAGAGAAAATAGTATAAAACATTTTGATAAACTCTCTCCTCTGTAGCAATTAACAACATAAACCTTTCTCCGAGTTTTTTTTTTTTTTTTTTTTTGATCTTATTGTTTCCATTTTTATTCAGATTGTGTATTTCACTGCCACATTCCCATACGTTATACTTGGAACACTGTTGATTCGAGGGATCACACTAGATGGCGCCGTCGACGGTATCATATACTACCTGAAACCGGACATATCAAGACTTGGGGACGTTCAGGTAGTCAGATGCTTTCTCAATAGGAGAGTATACAAATCGGGGAATTTATTATTAATCCAAGTATTTAAAGCATACAACTCAATATTATGGTAAAAATTAAATCTGGAACTACAATATGCATATTTACAGACATACAGGATATATACAGAGAACGAATGTGGTATTGACTGCAGTTCATCGAGTTTCATTTGCAATGATAACACAACACAAAGCTACATATTTACTTCTGAACACGAAGAACATGTTATATATACATCTGCTTCCTCTTTTAAAATATAGTTATCATTTTCTTTTTTGCTGCTGGTCTACTTACATGTATATAAACATCGACTCGCCTGTAATGTCAGTTGTTTAAAACTGTGACCACGTTAGGTGAATCTGAAAGGACTATACCATTTATTGTTTGTTGTAGGTCTGGATGGACGGAGGGACTCAGATATTTTTCTCCTATGCTGTTGCTATTGGTATAATGATAACTCTTGGAAGTTACAACAAATTTACAAATAATTTTTACAGGTAATTGCATTTACTTTTTGGAAAATTTAACTAGTTTTCTAAAGTCCTTGAAGTTCATAGTAGTTCTACCAGCGATAGGCAAATGACAAGGGAAGGATGAAGAGTCAGAAAATAGATATGCCACCCGAAACTGATCAGTAACTTTACGTTATCTCACTCAAGTTTTCAATTCATTATATCAATTATACAAGTTTTTAGCGAGCTTCTTGCGAGAGAAGTGATAACATTGTCACGAGTTTCAACAATCATACTTGACCATTGTTGACAAGCATCACAGTTTCCATTTCATCCTTGGAGTCATCTTTACTCTTCATCGATGACATCCATTGTGACCTAACAACGAAGTCTGCGAATGTGCAGTTTCATTTCTTATCCTGATGTCATATTAAATCCTGGAATTAACTGCTGAATCATGGTAATAAATCTTTTACTCTTTAAACATGACACTACTTACTTCACCTGATCCAGATGTACATGGAGGGTGTCGTCAGTGAAGCAGAAGATGCTGAGTCTTCACTTGGTCTTATTTTCCTTGAAATTTTCAGGTGTCACCGATTAAATATTTTTGTTCACATTTTGGCCCAGTACATCGACTTGCTGTTTGGATTAGGCTTCTGATAACATGTCTGTATTTCCTTGTTGTGTTTGCAATGAAGTTGCGAAGCGAGATATAGGCATTACTTTTCTGGCGGCGGCTGCAGTGACGTCAACATTTGTATTAAACTCCACATTATGCAACTGAGATACAAGTGCTTTCATCACCAGACCTGCTCAATAATTATAACATACGAGCGAGAGCACCTGAATACGTTTAAATTTACATTTTAACATATACTTTGTTAATTGATTATGCCACACAGAACTTGATTTCGTCTAATCTATCATAACGAAATGTAAAATATACTTTCTATATATAATCATGCAAACATACATTTCAGATTCAAATTTCACCTTTTTTCTGTCAGTTGAACATTTTTAGTTAATTGTGTCATGTGAATGTTTTCTGTTTAGTTCTAATGCTACATTATGATTATTTCATTCTTTTTACTTATTTGTTTCATTCTGATAAAATGAATTAGCGGGCACGCGCGAGACATTTAATTGCCTATGATTTTGATGGACCGATTTGTCCATCATTCCTTGGTGTTGGTGACCTACTCTGTAATAACAGGCAGAAGAAAATACAATAATGATTTCAAAAATACGCGATTAAGTTATATATTCCATGGTTGGTATTGAACTAAAGCAAATGGCATTGTATATCTGACAGGACCTGCCACCTTGTCTCAATGATAACAAGATCTGCATTTTAGCTTTACGTGACAACTCCGTAATCAACGTTCACTTATTGTGCATAGAAACATATATCACTGTTTGAAAGGATAGCTTAAGAATGCAAAATGGCAAAACACGACAGCAGTAATCGAAATGTAAAAACATCAGGACCACTAAGACGTTTACATAGACGCCAGTGAAACAGATAATAGAATTAGGTCAATTGAAGGTTACTCTTTGCAAAATGGACAGGTTTAATAGTAAACAATATCTTCTGGATTACTAATGAGCTTCCATATTAAAATCGCACAAGAGAATAGAACGAGGTTCATACGAACTATTGATCAGTTTTATCTACTAAAAGTCCTTGAAATACACGCATTGAATGTTGTAAATTAACTGTCATTATAAGCAAATGAAAAATGAAGATCATTGTTATCTGTGTTGATTAGCTCTTCCACAAAAGCGGTCAGTGAAAAGAGGATTTGAATATGACCCATCATACCCCCAGAATCGCTAAATATATAATGAATTTTCAACATTATCCAAATCATATGTCCTAGTCTATGGTAGATATGAAATTACTAGTTCCGAAAATCTAATTAACTGCTTTTCGATGACAGATTTCGTTATCACTTTTTTGAAGAAAATTTTTCAGGAGACATTATACTTACAGTATTAATGAGAGGATTTATACATTGACAGAGACTGTATAATAATATCGACGATTAACAGCGGAACCAGCGTGGTCGGGGGAGTTGCTGTCTTCTCCGTGCTAGGGTTCATGGCTAAGCAACAAAACCTCCCAATAGCAGACGTGGCTGATGCTGGTATTTACACTGACATTACATATATAAAATGGAGAACGACAAGCCGTACTAAATGCTGTGATATTTAAAATGTCACTGTTGCGATGTTAATTGAATATGATATCAGTATGTTTTTATGATTCGTCAATGAATTGATTTTATTTTATTACCCTAAGTAAGATTTTAGATTATTTTAATATTCACTGATCATCTTTAATTGTGTCACGTGAAAATCTAAAAACCCGCAAGATGTTGTCGGACAACCTTTTTAAGGCATTTGTCTATGAAAATGTTGTTATTCGTAAGTTGTATTGCTTTGTGAAAATGAAAATAAAGTAATTGTAAGTCTCTAAGGATCCAATATGCCTAATACAAACTCTACTTTTCAGGACTTTGTAGAACTTTTGATTTTACATGTTAGGTCCCGGCTTGGCTTTTATCACGTATCCTAAGGCCATGACACAGATGCCAATTTCTCCGATGTGGGCTGTCCTTTTCTTTTTTATGATAATTCTACTGGGACTGGACAGCCAAGTATGTTCAGAGCGTCATCGTATCGTGTAATATTATTTTCCTCTTACTATAACCCACTGTAATTCAAATATAACATCTCTGAATTAGAAAGCAAACGTTATGGTAAGACATCTTATATATGTACGTTTTATGATAGCAGTCTGCATTTCCAAAAGTATACTGATAAATTACCTTGTTATCAATATTTAATAGTTGATAATCATTTAAGATATTTAAAGATTAGAAGGGAATACGAATATAATTTAAGATATAAATTGATATGCACGTTTATTGGTATATTTTGTAAGTGATTGATAAGGCGCAATTTCTTGCTTTATATGATTATAATTTGAGATCTAACAGACAAATTTGTTTTTTAAATAACTCGATAATTTAATGTCCTGTAGAGCTGAATAATTTATCCTTCTGTTGGATATTTGTCCATTAAAGTGTATAATAATTTGGGGTAACAATATATCGCTTGATGTGCATTAGTTTAATTTGTAAAGCACTTAGATGCACAAACCGGATATTAATATCACTCCTATTATTACAATTTGTTACAAAGATGTTTTCCTACAGTGCCAAGTTCCAATTTAACATCTGTGTGTTATTGGAGGCAGTACGCAGTGCCACACTGGCGTCACTGACAACGCCAACGACAACAATTAGATCAAGATCAAATAACCAAATTAATGTTATTCTTATTATTTTCTTTATCGTAAATATATCATATACATTAAAAGTAGATATATTACATCTCCCGTCAGATTTGAAACATTTACACATGAAATTTATTGACGTATGTCACGATCGCATATTTATGAAGAATGTCATTCACGAGAAGAGTTTGTAATCTTGTGTAAGTCTACTCACCAAGCGTAATCTTGATATATACAAACTTTGGGTATGGTTAGCATCATCGATAACTTGTGTTTGATACTTATAGTCTAACCAAGAGGTATACTAAAAATATCTAATTCATCTACTTTCGAACCTCGTAACGAAACCACCGGACATACTGACGAGCTTCGAAAACACAAAAAATCAACCTTGGTACATGTATACAACATCGAATACATCTAACTTTGTATCACACGACCCAATCACAAGTATAAAGCATCAAACACACAAAATTATATTGAACTATGAAGTCGATGAGAGGGCTATCAAGACCACACAGTTATACAGTAGTCTCTGCAATCAAGCATCGCTTGACATCCAAGCTGATATTACATGTTAAGATCATCGTTAATAAAATGGTGGTATTAGGGGGAAAAAACATTGGATCAATATTCGCTAACTATGTAGATATTTCAATACAATTGATGTTTTCGTGTATAATGTATTAAATTTAGTATAACATTATGACGTACAACACATTCTTTATTGTAAATGTTAAATATTTGCTTGTAACGACGTCTTGTAATGTTTACCTATAGTGCAACTATAAGACAAGAAGGAAGAAATTGCATTCATAATGATATGAACGCAATGCGGTATGTGTAATACTGACACTTTTTGTTGCCGATTCATATAACGTGAGACCATCGTAAGACATTTTATAATTTTACTGACTATAAACTTTTCCACGAAGAACGGTGATACTGTTGAACAGAAACTTCAAAATATCTGAAATTGGGGAAAGCCTTTAAATGAATGTGACTTCTAATCCAATAGCTATATGTCTGTTTTAAAACATTGTGTGAAAAGCTTTTATCCAGAATCTTGACAGTCGCGAACTGACGTCAATGCAGTCTTAAAACTAACACGAAACATATATACCTGTATCATGTAGGAAACTTACTACGGATGATTTATATTTAAAACGACTTGGCGACCTATTTGTTTTCTCATAAACGTAATTGCGTCTCACATGATGAATTGTTTCTGTGTTTAAACTTGCATTATTTATATATATATATATGAAATCGGCTGTTACCTGGAATCAATTTATGCTGAATTTTAAAGAGCTTTTATCACATAACACGTTGTGTTGAAGATTTTATTTGGCGTTTAATGATAACATGATTTGTTATGTTGTAGTTCGTTGGAGTTGAAGCCGTCATTACACCAATTGTGGATCTCTTCCCAAGATATCTACAGCAGAAAAAGCGTCGGATGGTGTTCGTGGCCGCCTATTGTCTCGTGTCTTATTTTGTAGGGTACTCCATGGTCTCTAGGGTAATTTATTCAAGGCTTAATTGATTTACTACACATAAAAGGCTTATTTAATGTCAATGTTTTCAAATAAACCAGTTCATGTTACATCAGTAATCATTGCGTGTGATGATAAAATTCTGATCCTTTATATGCTTAGTCTACAGTTTACATACACTAAGATTATTGGATGTTATTTATCAATTGTGTGTCTTTTCTACTATGTTGACACCGACTCATACTTCACTACATTTCAGGGTGGAATATACATCTTCCAGTTGTTTGACTACTACTCCGCTAGCGGTCTCATTTTATTGTGGACATCGTTCTGGGAAACTATCGCAGTAGCATGGATATTCGGTAAAAACATATATTTATCTTGTTCAATTCATTATTTAAGGTGTACACAATGACGAAAAATTACCTTAAACTTTACAACCGTTTCATCAATAAAAAATACTGGTTTTGAAAATCCTTTACTTCTAGATAAAAATGTTTTATAACTCTTTTTCCTGTAGGAGCTGACAAATTTTATGATGCCATTGATATGATGATTGGTAAGAGAATTAACCCGTATTTGAAGATCTGCTGGAAATACACAACACCCGCCGTATCTATGGTAAAGTACTTGTGGTTTCGTTTGTACTGAATTGTTGTACGTGTATGTGTAACCAGTATATGTTGGTCCTAATCCTGTCGACGGTTTACTAATGAAGACTTAAAAATCTATACAGGGATAGTCGAAGTGATTTCAGGACAAAAACAATATAGTTAATGACTACTGCTACTGATGTTTCATTATGACGTGAGTCTTTAAAGTTTTGGAAAAACTTTCATTTTAAAGCCCAAATACAAGAAGTATTATTCCAGATTGTTACTAGGATGTTCAGTAAAAAGAAACAACATTGCGAAGAATACAAAACGCCCGTGCATTAAATCGAATTTACTACTGGCTCATGGTACCATATTTTAGTATCTGTTACTGGTTCGTGGTTACTTAATTTATGTTCTGTTACTGTTTTGTTGTTACATATTTTAGTATGTGTTACTCTTTCTTTAATCATTTTAGGAATATGTTACTGATTCTTTGTTACTTTATTCAGGGTTTGTTACTTGCTCTTATTTCAGGGTCTATTTCTGGCTCAGCTGATCCGATTCCGACCGCTTACCTACAACAAAACGTACGAGTACCCGGCCTGGGCCCAGGCATTTGGTATCATGCTAGCATTGTCCTCCATGATGTGTGTCCCAGTGTATGGCCTCGTCAGTTTCTTAAAGACAGACGGATCTCTAGTACAGGTAATAAACATATGCATTAAGCATTGTAGTTGGTTAAGGGGGTCCGAAAAGGATGTAAAAATGTAAATGCCAATTATCTCTAAAAACTTTTTGTAAATATGTATAAGTTGTAGCAGGCTTTTGATCAATTTAAAATCCACGGGTCAAAATGCCCCTTGTGTCTCTCGTTTACATTGAAATTCTACATGTAGGATATTGCTACATGCTATCAGCACTCTGGTTATTGAGCTTTTTGGTTTTTTGAGAGGAAATCATTTGATTGGAAAGGTTCCGCATGGCGTACTACGACAGACGAAACACGACAGGGGACCTAATAAAAACCAATTGGTAAACAGAGGGACATGACACAAATGAAAAATCAACATTACCCCTTTTTAAACTTCAATATTTGTTAATTTATTTTACATTATTCTCAATACTATTTGTATATTCTTATGTTGTTTCAGAGATGGAGAAAAGTAACCACACCGATACTCCAGAAACATCAAATTCACCCTAGCTGGGGATTAACACAACATAACCATCATTACCCCCAGCTAAACGGATTTAAGCAGGCATCATAAAGTTTTTATAAATTCTAAAACACTGTTTTTTTTCCAAATATATTCGAAATTGAAAAGTAGATTTATGCATTACGGTGAAGAATTGTAGGTTACTTTGGGTTATTGTTCTTCTGCTCATGGTTACTTGGTAAGGCTAAAATATCACTAGCTATTCAAGTACAGAAGGCGTCGTTACACTGACCTAGAGAAAAATCATAAATATTTACAGTGTAAATCTGCAGTTTGAACTTTTTGATGCGTTGCTATTGCTTTCACTGTTATGAAATTTAGTGATTCAAAATTATTACCTCTCTGGAGATGATACATATCAAATATATGAAAAAGAGTTCTCAATTAAAAAAACAGGTAATCATAATTATATAGCAAATAGTATAAGCAGTGTTATCGGAATTATTTTGTTTTGGTACGAATTAATATAAGACGGTAAAGTACGTGGTAGTTATATAGTATCATGTAATTCAGGAAACGGCCATATTGTACTCAAAGTGGTCAAATCTTGTAAAAACAGCACTGAACGATCCAGAGTTGACATATTTAAAACGTGACTACCACACAGATGTATACTGAATCATCTTGTAAGGCAAAAGGACAATAGCCAATTTATTCAAAATTACTTCGCTGATATTGAAAGGGCGATAATTCAATCATCATTAGGTTTAGGAAATTAATTAATTCGACTTAGGAAAAGGGATAGATTAGTGTTATGTAAATTATAAAAAAATATCAATATTCAAACCCAAATATAGATGAAATTGTAGGAATATTTAAAACGTGTAATGATTTTTTTTTTTAATTTTCAGATCAAATTATTATTATATTTACATAAATCATTCTCTTCATTATAACACATCTAAAGTAATTTTGTTGGGTATATTGCATTATGCATATATGAAATAATGCTGTACCTGTCTAAATGTAATCAGCTATGTCATTATCTTCGCTTGATTTCATTTTGATCTCCTGACAAGTGTGTTGTCAAAATGTAATAAAATATTGACTTTTGAATATCACCGTGTTATTTCCTTCCTTTACCATCATATAGAACAAAGCTTGTTTTAGCATCGCACCTGCATACTGACTTTCTCTATCAGCGGGGCTGCCTTTTTCGGCCACCACATACCACTCAGCTGCCTGAGATTGTCAGATAATTATCTCCGGTTTGTCTGTCATTTCACGCATAAAACAAAGAAAATTTCTTAACATGAAAACGGCATTTTAGTTACATGGATTTATTAAAGAGTTAATCACTTTATACGGCACAAGATAATTTCCAATATAACATTGTAACATTATTATTTCGTAGATGTTTATCCCACATCTTCCTATGGACGACTATACCGCATCGTTTGGATGATGGTATGTTCCAATCCTCTGTCATTTTGTAAAGTACATTATTCAGCTAGCCTGAACATTTTCTCAACACACATTTAGTCAACGTTAGCCCAACACCTGAAAATCAACATTGGACCAACATAAGTCTCTTATCTGGGAAGGAACAAAAAAGACCAGGTGCTTGGCGTTCTCGGCCAAACAGTTCTGCTTATTCCAAAATGTCTCAGGTCAAAGTTTTTAGCAGTTTCCTATTTTCTTGACAGCTCCTCCCTTCCCCCTCCCAAGATTCCTTGTCAAAAATAAATATAGATATTGTTAAATGATAAAAATTAACATTCACCAACTAGAAAAAATAACATTTTTCAACAGTTTCTCAGATAAGTTTCTTGAAAGAAAAAAAAAACTATTTCCGTTTTCAGTTCAAATTATTTGGCTCATTATCTGAAGTGTATACAGTGAAAATGAAAATTGCAGAGATGTTGAGAATCGGTAAAAATGTCATTGGGCTGTTGATTAGCGGGGTTATGTTATTTCGTGTAAATTTCTTTACAAAATCCTACTCTCAATGTTTACCAGAACATATCCTACAACTTGTATATCAGTCTAAGTGTTCCTTATTGTCCGAGACATCATATAGTGATTTGTTTATGCATTCCGAAACCTCGTGTTGTGACTTATGATATGTTTTTGAAAGGTAGCTGCACGTTTGTGGAATATCTTGATACCTGCTACCAGGAAGACGAGGGGCATTCAAACTGTTTATCTCAGTGTGTGAGATTGCTGGTATTAAATTCTATATAGACTTTGTATTATTTGTATCAGAATTACAAGGTTATTGTAACATAAAAAAAGAATTTATTTCATTTATTGGAATTATCATTAATATAGTTATCGAACTCAATCAATTTCTATATCTATTTCATGTTTTACGAAGATTATACTGAAGTTTATCATTATTGGCGCCAGTTGGGAAAAAATAACAAGAAAATACCAACATGTCAACATGATCATAATCCACGGAGAATCCTGAAAAGGTACAAGGAGAATAAGACCATGTGTATCGGAAGAGTAAACGTTTTCTGCTTCTTCGACGACAACCTACATGTAAACTTTGGTAAATCCAAGTAAGCAATGTCACGTTCTGAAACGAGAACAAGGTATTCAACAACGGAATCAACAGGCAAACTAACGACCATTAAACACATCAGCTTTATATCGCAAAAAAAAAAAAAATAATAATAAAAGTCTTTCGCAATGAGATTACTATGACGCCCGTAAAACTGCCACATACTTGGAAACTAGACACGAGAGAAAGCCTTCAGAAAATGAAAATAGTTTGGTCCAGCAAAAACTTGTTCGTTTGTTCTTGTTATCTACGTTTCAAAACGATTTCTTGCTTTAGAACATAAACTGAACTTTATTTAGTTGAGAAAAATTTTAGCAAGCGTCTTATTGACATATACCTATACAATATGTCCTCACTTAGAAGGGCTTACAATTACGTTAATCATTCAGACAAAAGTCCATCCACTCCAAGAGTGCTTTGTGGTAGCCCAAGAACACCTCTGTTAAAGTCTCGTGCCATTTCAATATTCTAGAAAAGCGTATTTGTGTCCTATGATTAAGTCTTTCAGTATTTTTCTCTGTGTGTTTTTTTTATGTTTTTATTATTTTGAATTTGATGTTTGTTCACTTGGAAAAAGACTTCATTTGTTCCTATGATTATAAAAGTTATGTGTTATATTGCGGAAGATTCATTTGAGTAAACAGTCACCAACCGTCGTGTTTATATTTTGTACTTTCACTTTACGGCTTCCGACGTGTTCTCGAGATACAAGTTTATATATTAACGTCAGTTATATTGGATGATAATTGGGCTACGATATTGCCACAAAATCTCTCAAAAGGCACAAGTATTGTGTTTTTAGGCTGATCAAAGGCATATAAAACAGCCTACAGCTTTCCTTCGTTGGTGTTGTCAGGGATGCCGCTATGGTTTTACCCAACGTCACACTTTGGTCCTGACTGCGACCCAGATAGCAGGCATACATTGGCCCAATGTTGGGCCAGTGCCTCACGTTTGGTTGGCCAACGATGGAAAATGCCTGTGGGCCAACATCATCGGTCCGATTTTGGGTCAGTATGTCGGGTCGACGTTGGGTCAAATTAAAAAGTGTGTTGAACCAATGTTGCGTCAACTTTATAACTATGTTGAGCCTACGTTGGGCCAATGCTTAACTGCTGTCCATATCTGACGTTGGGCCAACGTTACAACAACTATCATTCAAGTGAAGGTCGTAGAAGCATTAATATAATGCCGTCTTTACATCCGATCAACAGCTGAGGTTTGTTCTGTGTCAAGAAGTAGTGGATAAACAGTTGACTCCTAAAGACTGATCTAAATCACATGCATACATTTTTATTTTCTGTTCTTGATTGACAAATGTAGCCATGGCCACCTCTTTTTGTCTTCATTTCATTTTCATCTCCCCCTTCTCAGCCGCGTGCGTATCTCAGCTCATATGTCGGTGGTCTATGCCATGAGAAGTTTTTTTTCCATATAGCCACTTAAATATTTGCGAATTTAATCGGCAATTGATGATCAAGATAACAAAATTGCTAGTATATTTCAAGATACAGAAATTATTTACCTATATAAGAAAATATTTTATGAGTGACATTGTAAGCTATGGTGTGATACTTAGAGCAAAATAAAACACACACACCCTTACCCACACACATCTCTATATATTACATGGATTTCGTAATGTGTGTAGTGTATATCATGCCCTGTTCTGATGATACCAAATGACTAACACAGGAATTCTGAGCTTTAGTTGTAAGCCTTATGTTGTTAAAATACACTAAAGCATTGAGTGCTATTGCAGTTACGATTTTGGAAAATATAATAATTCTAAAAATATATGTATAAACAATAAAGATAAAAAATGTTATTCAGTTATTGTATTAGAAATTATGTTATTGATATGAATTGATTATAACTGTTGCTATCTGAGTGCAAGATCATCATTCATGCAAAGATTACGAACAGAGAAAATGACATCAGGTCAGCATTGGGCCAACGTATGTAAATTAATTGTTTTAATATATCCAGTTCACGTTGGGCAAACACATTGGAATCGAAGGTTGGTTTTGCATTCAACCAACGTTTGTTCAATATATGAGAATTGATGGTTGGGGTTACAACAATAAGCCAACATTGGGCTAATGTCATGACGCCGATGGCCAAATGTAAGGCCAACCAACATTTGGTCATCATAGGTCTGTATCTGGGGAGGACAACTATTGGTTGTCCGTGAGCCGTTAACAAATGTGTATTGTGACTTTTAAGGAACGACAACTCTGGTAGAGATTGACGAAAATCCTTACTTACATGTATCCGCACATATATAGTCATTGATTTTTTAAATAAAATACAAGTACAAGCATTTTTATGACAAAGATACAACAAAATACCGTGCACATAAGCATTATCTTTACATCTATTGAATTTTATTAATCAGATTTAAGAGAGCTCTTCATACACCTCATCAGACTCACATTTACCTCATCAGACTCAAATATCTTAAAAAATAGTGCGTTTCCTTGACACAAGTGGTATCTTTTTTCATTAATTGTGCCCGCATATGTGCATACACATGTGACTA